CAACCTGGGTTTGCACACACACACACACACACACACACACACACGCCTTCCATACGAGGGGTCTAGTGGTAAAAACTACAGAGTACGTGGTTCACTGAATGAACTGAAGAAGTCTGGCGACCATCGCTAAACAACAACAACAGGCAATCTATCATATGCCTGAATAAAGGAGTTAATAAAAGGAAAATAATGTTTGTATAAAGCGGAACGTGATGAAGGTTTAGTTTTTCTGACTGATCACCAGATGTCAGAAATCAAACTGAGCATTATGCAACTGGGGAGCAGTTCAATCAGCGGGGCTCTCACAGAAGGAGCAGATGTGTTTAGAACCACCGAAGCTAAAGCGTACTGGGTACCAGATCTATTTGCCTTAGCCCCATGATGTTGCATGTTATGGGTAGGAACAACCACGGTTGGAACGTGTATGCATTGAGGAGGGAGGGGTGGATAAACTTGTGCAGGGTCGATAACCAGACAAATTCATCTTTCACACTTTCTGCACGACCGATTTCGCCAACAGTCTCAGAAAATGCGGATAAGCGCAAACCGCTCCGTCAGCTACAACGAGGCATCAAACATGAGCTGATCATTCAGTTCTAGCAAAACAGGAAGAACCAATGATTACATTCCCGGAGAGCGTCTCGTAAAACTGTTCAATCACATCGGTAACTTTAAACGATATCAATTCCAATCCACCGAGAACATTCACTTGGATATCTGTGAACGAACGATGGTAACGTATCGGTGGTACTGTGAATTGCAGACTAAAATCAAAGCTGTTTCTGACAATTCGATGATAACACTGCCCTCAAACCAGTTCTTCACCTATGTTCGGACTTTCCTGACACGCTTTTACTCACTGACTGCATCCCCCCTCCCTGCAGCTACATACGGGTCTTGGGGGGAAAAAACGTCCCTACAGATGATAGAAATGGAAATGGTACAGATTGATCACCGAAATAAACGGGAGAATTCGTCCAACAAAGAATTCTCTAACTCAGTATTTATCATCCTATTTCCTCACTGACAATGTTCCCAGAAATCGAGTCAAAATATTACGCGTATCTTCAAATCTCAGTATGGTTCTGCCTGGTTATGCGTCAATCATGTGAGATTAGCACTAACGATCAATAAAAAGTCGACCAGAAAAGCGATCGATTAATCCAGATGTCGCACTGATCGTTTAAAACGAAGTGGATAGTGGGAAAAGACAGCGAATGTCCGATCATCAACATCAACATCGTGTGTCGAATGTACAGCAATCAGACCCAGACGGTGTACCCAGTCAAGACGAATACTTGGGCCGCATGAGAGGAAAAATATACACGGCTAACACAGAGAGAGAGAGAGAGAAAGTACACAGCCCAAATGTGTGTGGACTGATCGACGCTAGCAGTCGGATTCAGTGTTTGACAAAAAAGAACGCCAAAAATGTCAATTGGGAAACCAATGTCTTTTGGGATAGTGTTTCGGTGAAAGAACTAATTTTCGTTAATATTTGTCATTTTCATTATCCGTAAAACTGATCAAAATATGTCACTCGGTGGACTGGTGCAACGGCTCCAAATGAATGGACCGGGTTGTCATAATGGAATACTGTGTTCAACTGTATCCAACTGCAATCGTGGAATATTTTAGAATTAAACTCAGGATTTCTGACCTGGTGGTCCCATTGTAGACAGTCGGGCAAGACAGTGAAAGATAGGATGGTCAAACGTGTACAGCCTGGGGAATTTGTGCTAGCCCCATTATCAAACTGCCAAATCAAATTGGAGCGGTGTACAATCAACCGCGACCGGGAGGGAGGGAGGGGTTCCTATATTCCACCATCAAGTGAAGATGTGACTGGAACAGAACGCAACTAACTAGTGGTACAATCTGATCTGCAATTACAGGCTGAGCAGAAGCGGGAAATGCCCCCTCCCAGAGCGTAACTAGCTGATGATACTGGCATGGTTAATTTCTTTGATCCGTTCACTGAATGAATCGGTTGACACAAACCGGTGGGCATCAGTTTTATTATCACAACCGAATGGGAAAGTTTGATCTGCTACAATGCCTCCGCAAAACTTCAGTCGCCGATAAAACAGCATAGTTCATCTGATCAGGAAACATTTGGACCTTCAGTGAAATCAATCTCTTGGATTAGCTCCTGAATAGGATAGAGAACTGAAATCTAGCAATTAGGATAAATCGGTCATGGGAACGGCAGCAACTAGGTCAAAACACCCAAAGAAAGACAAATGGAGTCGTATCAACCAACCGGTGCAGTATTTCTGGACGCTAGGTGGAGAACAAGATGCCGTAGCTACATAGTTCCTGCTCAAGTAGTCAATCGAAAACAATCAGATGGTCAAAACGGAGGGGAATGTGGACCTTGTCTAAAGGTATA